GACAAGTGGCTGGCACAAGGAAAGAGCTGAAAAAGGAATGGAGAAAACCAAAACTAGAAGGAGCAGCTCCATGGGTGAAGAACAAGTTGTTAAATCAGTTTAACCACCATTTAACTAGACCGTGATGTGAAATAGTATTTCAGTCTTATTCCTCCATGTAGACATGGAGGCTTCTTCTCAAGCACATTTCTGACTTTGATAATCTTTAAGGATTAAAGCATTCTTAAAGAGCTGACTGTACTCTATTTTGACCATTTAAATGCTCTGGATACCAACTTTAATGCTGAAGTCAGCAGCACTTGAGTATTTCTGTGTCACTGACCACAACACAGATGATAAACTTGAGATAACGTAGGCAGGGGTAGTTTTCTATTTGCTCAATTATTACGGCATAGTACTATAGTACTTAATGATATTTTCTTCTTGGATAGTAAAACTTAGCTCACACTGAGGCCTGTGCTTAACCTATTATGGACATGTGTTGGGGCAACTTAAATTGTTACTGGGAGATCACAGAACTCGGTATCTCTTTACCAGAGGCAACCAGGTACTCCAGCCTGTTAACCCCCTGCAAAATACCAGACCCACTGCGTGCCTCCATCAGCAACGTAAGAGACTGGTTAAACCCGCCCTTAGCTAGATCTAAAACCTTTGCTATTGTTGCTAAGTAGAAAGTCTATGTTTCCTTGGGTATAGAGCGCACACTTTCCAAAAATGTTATCCAATTCACAAAAATTGCCTAAAGGCCAAAGACCGATCAAACATGTGGAAAAAATTCATTGACTTACTGAATTTACTGCATAGGAACAACTTGAAAACAGCCAAAACAACATCTAAAAATTGCCTGGCAGACAAGGCAAGCCATTCTGCTATGCCTGTTCCATCAAAATTTTGGCTGGTTTCCTGAAGAAACATCACTTTTTGATGTTAGAAAGTCATTACTCACATCATCATGGACTGATCTCTTACCAATACCTTGTAGGCAAATATTTCTAGTAAGACCAAGCACAGCTTGCTTTGTGATTAATTTGTAAGTGGACTTTCACTTCAGAAAAAATAATTCAGAACATCTGAATCAAGAATTTATTCTTATCATCAATAAAAAACAGTAAGAGTTTTGTGACAGAGCTGCTTAAAGTCCATCTTCCTCTGAGATAATGAGAGCTAATGGTTTCCTTATCAAGATTTCATGTAGGCTGCTTCACATGAAGTGATAGCAAGTATCTGTTATTTACAGCTGCTAGTAGTGTTTGCTGCTAGATCTGCAAGGTCTTCAATTCCAGACAAGGCAAGATGATTTATGCTGTGCTGAAGATGTTAAAATATTCTGTAGGGAACAATAGATGATGTGAGTTAATTTAACCTGGCTCCTACTTCGTAAAAAATTTGAATTACAGTATAATCGTGCCTTCACAAGCTTTGTTCCACTCTGCATTATCTATTAAGCCTTATGCAGATTTCTCTTGTTGGGTATGCAATTGTTAAGGCTCTGCATCTGTAAAGAATGAAACAGCTGTTCTAGCTGCACAGACATAATAGGTCTCAACTCTTTCAAAGTTCCTCAAGTTCTATATTCTGAACAGAACATTACAATAGTAAGAGATGCCAAAACAGTTTCCTTGATAAACATGGATCAAACAGTACTTTAGTCTTAGTCTCTTCTGAAACTTCATTTCTGACATCTACTTTACCAGAACATAAGGACAGACATCTTGTTTTGAATAAGAATTTTCAAAATGGATGATGCAAAACTTAATGGTCAACTGGGTAAGAGCAAGGTTTACAAGTTACTACAGCAAAAGGTACACAAAGTAGGTTTAATTCCAGTATTTAAAATACACTTTTTTTTTAAAAGACTGATTCCCCAAAACAGAAAGCACTAATTAATACGTGTAGGTTACATCTGCAAATTTCCTGGTAAGAAGCCAGGAGATGCAGCATTTAAGCAGGAATCAGCTTAAATGAGTCAGATTCCACTCCAAAGCTGGTCACTGGGCACACACAAACATGTACCTTTTTGGTTGAACTTCTTCATCTGTCCTATGGGGACAGTCACGCCCACCTTTTTGTCTGGACAGACTGAATGAAAAATGCCACTAGGTACTGCCAATACATTGTATTATAAATGTACGTCAATTGTAATTCCAAAGGTTTTGATTCAACACAATCAATTACTCATCTAATAGTAAGGAAAAATTTTATTAACAAACCAAGCATTATCATGTCTGACCTTCATTACTTCGTCCAGAAAAAAAAAAAAAAAAAAAAAAAAGAAAAAAGCAAACATCCTAATTTTCAGTTCCCTGAAATCTGGAAACAGGGAAATCCTGTATAGATTCTAAACTCCATCTTAGTTACACAGATTAATAATTTGACCTCTATTCATTGAAAAAGAAAATCAAATCCTTGCTGAATAAGCCTTTTGCTTCAACTATATAATCAAACAAACAAATTAAGCATACTTTACCAAGGAATGCAGATATTAATTCAGGTACAGAAATTATACAGGCTAAACAGAAGGATTATCTTCCTTAGGCATCTTTCAGTCCTCAGAGTGATGAAATTTGTTTTGAAAACTCTTTAGAAAATGCTTCTTGGCCATAAAAATGTCCAACTATCAAACTGATTGTGTATGAAGACATTCTTAAATGTTTTCTAGACAACCACCATTTATGTTATTTTACGAAGTAAAAGTTTGCATAATTCATAGCACATTATCTGAACCATATATTCTCTTTTTAGACACACTGGTGACATACTAGTTTGGTTATTATATTATAAGCAGTGTCATTTAACTAGCAGAACAGTAAAATATCTGCATTGCCAGATGCTACAGACTGCATATTGTTACACCTTCCTCATAATAAATGCCATCTTTATAGGTGTTTACAGCCTAAAGTACATAAAGGCTCACCCTCCTGTTACTTTGAAACCATTAGTATTATGTACTGTGTAGGCTACCAGTGCACACAATTGTGTGTAAAAAGGCAACAGGCATAACAGATGTACCAGGAATGTTTAAAAATCATGTTAGAATGTTTTTTTCTGGTATTTTAAACTTAAGCTACATCTCCAAGTTAAATGAGTTTCATTTTGGCAATAAGCATTTATTATCTGCTAAGCTGCTTCACCAGAAAGAAAGTATTTACCATATACAATACATGTCCCCATTTTGAAGCTGTGGGACTAGGAACGATTCACATAGCTGTAAGGCTAAGGTAGTCTTCCCTTCTTTTTCAGTGTTGCAGATGATCTCAATTCCACTCTTGCAATCAGTCCTCAATAAGTGCTATACAATTAAAATAAAATCAATTTAGATAAATGTGCTAACATGAAATAAAAACCTATCAGACCTTGCTATATTAAAGAGGCTACTGAAAACTTCAGGAATTGCTATTAACATAGGATTTCTTTGGAACAGCTTTTGTGTAGGTCTGTAAATAGAGATTTTGGAAATATTTAGAACTCTTTCATATTTCTTAGAGTAATGACAATCAGAATAATTGAGAAATTAAGAGACTACACAAAAGCACTATTCTGCATGATGGTAGCTTGTTCTTAAAACAAGGTTAAGAAAAACATTGTTATCTAATAAGTGCTATCAGTGGTAAAAGTAGGGCCACAATCAGCTAGAGTGTCATTTTACATTCTGGGGCATCATTAAAAAAACCTTTAAGGTTAGCAAAAGTATATAATGTACAAAACACGGGACTGACATCAATTAGGCTCAAGTGCTTTTGCTAGAATAATAGTCAATAGTAAAATAGTCCATACTAGCACATTGAAGTTACAAAATATCAATGACAAGTTATTTAGGGAATATACCTACAAGTAAACTTGGCAAAAAAAATTGCATTTAGGTCAACAAGACTTGTAGGCGTTTAACATTTAACTTTTCAAAGCTTAAGCCAGCACTAAGTTAAGCAACACCAACCGGTGTAGTTGCCTGATTTTATGACATTTGGTTCTACAAAAACAGAGTTCCATATGCTCCTCTTGACAACTTGTATACAGTAAGTATCACGTACCACTTCATTAAAAAAATGTATACTAACAAACAGTACCTCCTGGAATAGCTGATCTTCTAATGGTGACATATAAAGACAGGTGAAAAGAGCTTGATGGAAATACAGATCTTTACTGATATCTGGATGATTTATGCAAGATTTGATAAGAGCCATTGCCTCAGGGATGCGTTCACAGGCAATAAGGTATCTGGCACGTAGTTCAAAGAACAGTGGATTTTCAGAGCTTAAATATTTGTTAACTGTACAGAAAAGAAAGATTTAAAGGCAATTAGAATATGAAGTCCAAAAAACAAATATATTTAAATGTAATGTTGTTTTTAATAGTGCAATGTCAACAAATAATATAAAAAAAGGCTCTGCTAAAGAAGCTATCAAATATTAAATACCATCAAGAATCTGTCTTTCTGCTTGGAAACAGAAATTGTTATTTTTCTTACACCAGTAATCTAATTCAGTATTTTGTTTCTAACAGGTTAACACAAGGTGCTGCAAAGGATTAGTAAAATATACACTATATAGAAGCAAATAAGAAAATTCCTTTCTTTCTCAGCACTGGAATCTGGGTGATTGTCAGAAGTATAGGATTGACATCACTTCCAAGGCTATAAATATTTAAAACAACTAAGGATACTCATTACCCATTAAAATGGAAGAGCTCAGAGTGGTGAAAAAGTTAACTACAATTCACATGCTGTTGCTTTAAGTAGCTTTGAACACCTTGATTTTGTCTGGAGAAGTGGAAAATATACTTTTTCTTCCTCTGAAAGTGCTACTGGGCACTATTCTTACATCTAAATTCTAAATACTTTTAAATTCTAGGCCATACTTTCTGGCAATCTGTTTTTCAGATCTAAAAGTTAATCTTAAAGCTAACATTTGAATTAAATCGTTTCAGCTGAAATACTCAAAATACTTAACATTTAATTGGGAAATTATGGAATACATAGAAGACATGCTTTGGATCTCTATTATAAAAGATCATATAGATTCTAGTGTCTTTTAGGAATAAAAGTTAAAACATCCCTGAAGGCTACAAAATACAATAATGCTGCTTTTACTTTGAGAATTGTTGGCATCTTAAGTAAATGCACACTCTGAGATGTTAACACTGCGTTAATATTTATGTAATGTGTTGAACAACATGGCCTGATTATCCTCTCGTATTTTCAACAGCTACCTTAAGAGAAAGAGTTAGAATCCCACAGTTTCTAGTGCATGCCCTGTAGTAATGTACAGTGTTTCATATTTTTAACAAAGAAAAAAGAAAGAGATTGTCAATTTAACATCAATGAAGGCTAGAAGTGAGGATGGGAAGTTTCTACCTTAGAAGGAACTTGCATAAAAAAAAAATTACAAGCAGCTTAAAGTGACACTTAAAAGGATTAAAGAATCTTTGAAAAACCACAATCTGAACAGGCAAGAAAATTTTTTCCCAAAAATAAAAAGATTAGTTGTATAACAAGCTTTCACAATTTTTTTTTTTAAAGGACACCTGGTTTGAGAGACATTCCTTATGGTCAGAAACTGGATTTCTCTAGCATCTTTATTTTTACGCAAGCTAATGGTATTATATGCTAATGAATGCTTAAGGAATATTATTCAAGGTAACATAAGTTTTTAGATGACATTTGTTAATAGATGTACAGAAAGGTCCACTGTAAGAGAAGATCACATAGCCACTATCCATTAGCACTTCTGGGTAAAAACTTAGTAAAGACAACTGAAAGAAAAGCCAGCATCTAACAGTGGTCACTAACTGCAAGAAAAAGTGATCATACAGAACAATCCTTAAAGCCAAGTAAAGGCCTCTCCTTTTTTGAATTAACATACTTAAGATAATAAGCCCCATCATTGGTTCCATATGCAAATATTACCCAACAGATTACTGAATATCCACATTGAAAAATTAGGCCAGAAATACATAGCTTTTGCTATGTGCTAATGTTAAGAAAATGCTGTGCATGTAACAACTGGATGTAACATCCTTTTCCCTCAAACAAGGGGAGATTGCAGTCCACAACGCAGGTTAACTTCTTACATCATTCCCACTTTCTGTGTGGGGAACTCTTAGGTCAGTATGCCTCCCTGCTCTATGAATGGGAGCTCCTGCTGTCAGAAGTGGGATTCTCAAGGAAGGGGTCTTGTACACCCTCCAACACTGTTTTTAAACAGACTGCGAGTTCCAGCTACATCACTGGCAGGATTGAGCTCCCTCCCTGAAGTGGAATGTCCTCTTTTCCCAAGGCAGCATTTACAGCTCTTCTAACCCCCCCAAGCAAAAGACAACTGCTAACTATAGTAGCATTTAGCCAAGTCTGTCATACATTAAAAACAGCTTGGGGAAAACAACATCTATTCTTGTCCAGGCAGCACGTGTGGCGCTCTGCTTTAGAACGATAGGTGCCTACTATCAGCTTAGAAACTAATTAACTGCTTGCATCTGAGTGTACAATATTCTCTTCTAGATGTTCACAGCAGGCTACCTTATTGTCCCTAATCTGTTAGAAGTTTATCGCTCCTATGTTTCAACCCTGCTATTTTTCTTTAAACCCCAAGACTGCCTTCCTTTCTAGCCATCTTAAAATAGACTGCAACATCTCAAAGTATACTACAATTCATGTAAAGACAGGCACAGCAAGGTTTGTCTTGGCCTAAACTTCTCTGTGTAATTAATGAATCCAAGACAGGATTATGTAGTTCACACAGTACGTATTTATCAAACTGACTTTTGCAAGTAATGGTTGGTGATTCAGCAATAATAGGCAGTTTTCCTCATTTAAAATAAAGATCCCTGAGGGAACTATACAGCCAAGTTTCAAAATATACACCGAATACTGCCAGCCTATAAAGCAGCACAGAATGTTTGCTTTGTGTAAGACTTCACAAGAATCAGATTTTAGAGGAGGTGAGACAAGAAAATAAAAGCTTCCAAAGGTATTATCTAAAATAAAATGTTTGTCATCACAAATAAGATATGCCAAGGGTGTACGGGGGGATATCAGAAGATAAAAAGAGGAAGAATAATTCAGCAGAGGGAAAGATGTGGCCTGCAACAAAAGGAAACAAAACGATCATCTAGTGACAACAGGCAGTCTCATTCCTACTCTGCCAGGTTAAAACTAAGTAAAAATCCTCAAACTGTTACTATCCTATAGAGGCTCCATTACAGTCAAGGGAATCATCAAGGCAAAGGACTAAACTAATTCTTTGCTGCAGACATGGAGATTAAGACCTAACTTTAGACCATAACTACCAAAAGTTCTACAGATCGTCGTGCAATGCAGAACAAAAGAAGGATAATCTTTGTTTTCATTTTGTTTCTGTAGGTATTTGACTAGAAGTTTATCAGATATATAATAAAAATCACAGGTAAACTATGTTGCTCAAGCACTTGCTTCACAGACAGAGAAAACAAAGATTATCCACTTAATCATGTTTATTTGCTATCAAAATACTTTCTCTGTTTAAGGAGGCAGCTCACTAAGCTGTTCTAACTTTATAGTCCTCTTCCTCTCTTTCCTGAACAAACACATTGTCATCACAGTAATGAATTTGAATCATGCATTACACCATAGTAACTACAGAAAAACTACTATTTTCTATCACTATCAAATAGAAATAAGTTTTAATAGGTGCTCTGTGAACACTGCTAGCAAATACGTTGCATAAGATGTTAGTAAAGACTTTACTGTAGAGTGGATATTTTTCCCCTTGTGAACTTTCATTAACATTCCACTAATGTTTGTTTCCACACACTGTTAAAAATTCTGGTTTATTTTGCAACCTAAACAGATATATCTCTCCTACTCCCAACTCTAGAGATTACATATACATAAACAGAAAGCAGCTATCAGATGTAGTCACAGGCCTCATTCTAAACAGAACCAAGAAAAGCCACAAACCCAAGTATTTACAATTTAAAAGAAAAATTAAATGACTCGGAATACCACAAAACAGAAATACACATCAGGTCCTCCCCTGATCATGTTACTTCAGTAGCCTAACTCAAGTCAAGTCACTCTCCATGCTCTTTCAGGGGTTGAAGACCTGGATTTGCTAAATTCATTTTATAAGTAACTGCTCAGTAGCCTCTTGTATCTGAATAATCTGATCTCCACACTACATAAGTAGACTTAAACAAAGAAATTTAATTTTCTTTCAAATAAAAAAGGAACCAGTACATTTTACTACAGAAAAATAGTTACATTGTGTGCAAAGTCAGCTGACAACACCTGACTAATATCTAAAATACATAATTTAACACATTTTTCAGTACTCTAAAAAATTAACATGGTAAATGAAGTACCTAATTCCTGTGATACAGGCTTTGCTTTAAGAATGGCTTGTAATACTGGATCCTCCCATGGTCCACCATCTCGGATGATTCGAGTCACTAGTTCCAAGTTCATATTTCTGTATCTATTTAGAAGGTTCTGACATTCCTACATGTAAAAAGAAAAACAATTAGAAAGAAGAAAACAAAGTTGTCTAAAAATAGTTAGGCCATCCAAAAAGATACAAAACAAGAAAACCCACGCATGTTTAAATATTTCCTCAGTCAACAATTCAAGCTACAGTCTTTTATTGACCAGGCTTACACAAAGCCCTAAAGCAACAACTTATATTCTCTCAAAACAGTAATACAGAATTGTGGAAGCTAGAACGTTCACATCTTCCATAGGAACACAGCAATAGCCTGTCATTTGCATCACAATGCAAAAACGCCTTTCCTTGAATTAGAGATATTACTGGCATAAGCTGAGGGAGAAGTCTTCGCCTCATGCTAGTCTGCACAGATTTAGACATGCTGATGCTGGATTTGTGATCCAGTGATGGTGTCTGAATTCTATGAGGGAAAAACTGAATTAAGCCATATGAGTCACCAGCCCTCAAGCAACTGTTTTTCTCCAAATCTCTACATAACAGAAATTACGCTTGCCCAAAATAATCCGGAGTGTTTTAGCTACCCATGATTTTCACATACGTGAAGTTCTCCCCCTCCTTGTTATTTGTTGGTAAAAGTGTCAACATTAATGTTAATCAACAGTAGAACTTAATCACAAGAAAAAGGTATCTAATTTTGAAACAAGAAAATGCAGCTTCTTCACATATGCTTTTTTCTGTAAATTCTTTTAGTTTCAACTTTTTCTTTTATGTTCAGATAAATATGTTTGATGGTAAAAAATGGTTTAACAATGGTTTTCACTATCAGTTTGGTTACACAACTGATTCAGAAATTCTTTATCTAGAAAATTATGTAAAAATATATTTTAATACATTCATTGTTTATAAAGTCAAGGCAATTAAGCGTCATCACACAAAAGCACAGGAAGAAAGTATTCTACATCACACTTTTTCCTAAATTCTGTCTTGTTCATAGACTGTTTTTGAAAAACAGTCACTGCAGGACTGCCAAAAGTGTCCCGTTACTCTTCTACGAGAGACCATACCCATTCCGGAGGCTGCTAAGCCACTCATTGACCCCATTCTTCCACCAATTCTAACCAAGCATGTAATTGCTGCTGGTTTGATAATTAAGGTAAGTAGTGCTGACATTATTTTGTAGCAGCAGTAACAAACAGGTATCAACAGAAAAATAACTAAGGGATAGCTATTTCTCAAACTGCAGTTTCATGATCAGCGTTAACAGAAGAAACCACCCTGCTTTTCACCCTTAAGTTTCCTCCTACGATGGCACAAGCGCTTGTGTTCCCATGCAGTGAACTGAACTCTCAAAATCAGTTCACGTCAAAAAAAACAAAAACTTATCCGACACGAAAAGGTAAGTTTTTAAATCTGAGATAATTTATCTTATGCAGTTGTACATAGCCATACAAAACCTTGTCCCTGACTAGCCAAGGGTACAACAGTTTTAACCAATGCAAGTTTATGCTGACCTGAAGAGTTCATTGTGATAGAGCTTCAATTTCAAATTTACTGTTTAAAACCACAGAGGGAAACTTGAGGTTTCATGTCATGAACTGGTACGCAACACTGGATGACATTAAGTTCTGATTAGATATAAACAAGCAAAGCTTCCCCTTTCTATATGAGAAACACACAAAATACATCTTTAACAAGATTGGTGTTACCAACAGACACACATTGTACTTAGTCCAAGTAGATTCAAATAGCAATACTGATGATAAATGTAAGAATAAATGGCTTTCCCTTCAAATATCCTTTTTTTTTTTCTCTTTTCCTTTCTCCCTTTGGGTATAAACCTAAGCAAAGCAGCTACCTTCTTCCACTATAATGGCATGTTTCCTCCAGGTTATATATTCACAAAAACAGTCTTTACATGTACTAAAATAATATTGAAGATTTATATGAAAGTAGGCAACACTACCTGGATTGAACCTAAAATATCTTTCAAAGGATCTTCATAGAACTCATCCTTTCCGAAGAACAGCAGCAATTCAAAAAAACTCCTAAAAAACAGAAGCAGTGACAAGTCAACCAAGCTAAAAACGTTAATTAAAAAAAATGAAACTACTGTAAGTCTATTAGTTTTCACAGCACTAAAAACAAAATTAGACTTTAAGGTCTAGACCCGTTCCCATGCCAGAGTCACTCTAAAAAGTTTGGCTAACACCCACACTCTCTAAACGCAGCTCAAATTTCAAAAACTTGATGTTGGTCTGATATTTTGTGCTGGCTTTGACAGTTAAGACTTCCCCACACACACCCCAAACACATTTTTCATCAGACATCAAGTCACAAATACAATACAGCTACATATAAGCTAACAAGACCAAATCAGCAATAAAACAGATTATATTTAAGTAGAACTTGAAATCCCTTCTGACAAACCTTTTTCATAAGTTCAGGACATTTAGACTGACAGTACCTGCTCACTGATCTCCCTCCAGAACTCTTACATCCTCCATACTGCTGCTCCCCATTCACCATTACAGAAGTGAACCTTCCTCAAAAGCCAAAGCATGTCAAGATATACAGCCATTTTGAGGAAGGAAGAGGACAACTGTAAAATTACGATAGTACGCACAGTATATAAGGAGTTGCATTCAAGGAATAGTAACTTCACATGAATGCGGATTCCTAACAATTCATATTTTCAAGTATGATAAGCACTTTCTACTAACACGTTTTATTCCATTTCAGCCTCTCTTGCCATAATGCCCACTGAAGCATCTCTATGAAGATGCAGGTTTAAAGGTGCTATTAATTTCATATTTCCAAATAAAAGCCTTTCAAGATTATTTTCAAAGGGAGAGCTTTTGTGCAAATATGCAAATGAACTATGTTCATCTTCTGTGTGGCATTCAAATGAATTGATAAAACTTCAATTTTGCCATCACCAAGTTTTTAAGTAAATCAGGTCTACGTGCAGCAACATGAATTCACAGTGAATTGAGTGTTACCTCAAAAGAAGAGGTAGATAAGGGAGGAGGCAGGACTGATCCTTTCAACTGCAGCCTAGATTCAAACTGACCTGTGACCTCATGTTCTCTATCATCATAAAATACTTGTCTAGCATTTTATTTAATACAGGGACTGAGACAAACAATCTTGATAGCAAGATTGAAAGAGTACTGAAAGAAAAACTGTGCATCTAGGGTGTTTTAGAAACAGGACTGAACAGAAAAGGCTTTGGTCTCAAAACAAGAAAATATGAATATTTTTCTTTAAGATTATTCTAGACATTTTTTCCAAATGAACAGGGAAAGACAGAAGAAAGAGAGGGAGAAGGTAGAAGATGATGCCTGGAAAAGGTTCCAGCGCTCTTCCAATCTACAAGTTTTTGACTCGAGATCGTGCTGATGGCAATTTCTTTCCTGACTACTATATTTAGTCTTTTGTTGCAACATCTTTTAAAAGAAAAGGTGGATTTTCATGAACAATTGGACAAGGAGCTCTTCTGCAGAACATTTAAATTCACTGCAGTTATCCCCAAAGTATTCTTAAACCTCAAAATGTTTTGTTTCTAATAAAGTTAATTCAAAAGAGTTTAAAGAGCAGACTTAAGGCATGTTTTCCTCTCAATAATATTTTCAGAAATACTGTGCATTACAAGATCTTAATATTCACCAAAACAAAATGAAGTTTTGTATGGGAATAACACAAAAGTATCATAAAAGTAGTTTTCCTTTAGATTATGCTGCGGTATTTTTTATGCTAACCAGCAATAAGCTATGCCAAAAACAGACCTAGAAAATTTAAGCTACACATTCATTATGTTCAATGACAGAATTTTGCTCCAGAATAGGTCCTTGAATCTTAACCCAAATATAGATGGGGAAAAAAACCCTACCCAGTAACCAAATAAGTACTTTGTTCTGAAAAACATTATCTCATTTCATGTTGATAAACAACATTTTGCAGCATACTTGACTCTCAGGAAAGGTCAGGCATGAGTCATGTCATGATCTGGAAAGCAGCCAAACTGGAACTTAAATAGTAAGACAAAACAAGTTACAGCAAATGATGCATGCATCCTTTTTTTTTTTTTTTTGCTTTGACTGATTTAAAGACAATAGATCTTGACAAAATAAATAAATAAATAAAACCTGAAAATTAATAGTGAACAAGTGTAAACTACAGTCGTCTTCTCTATCCTGTGCAACCTGTTCTAGGTAAACCTGCTTTATCAGAGGGGTTGGACTAGATGATCTGTAGAGGCCCGTTCCAACCCCTACCATTCTGTGATTCTGTATCAATGCACCCACTCTACACACTGATCAGAGTAATAAAGAAAGCTATAAAAATATTTTTGTTTCCTCATCACCAGTCTCCATTCAATTAAAATTACTACAGTAAATTCCAGGTTGGACCTGTTCTCTTACACCAGTCTGCAGCATTGCACATCCACATTTACATCCATCTCTTTATAATAATGGTGCTTCTATATTTATCATATCACTACTTTGACATTAGTGGCATCAGAAGATTGCCCAAGAACACTAGTATGCTGGCACCATTATTAAAAAACCCTGATATGAATGGTAATACAGGTGCTGCTTCATTTGTGATGAATAGCAAGGCTAATAAATATAGGAAATGCAACAGTCACTACTGTTAATAGTTTATTGTCTGGTTACCAAGGAAATCTTACTCAAGTATGACAATACAGTCAGGCAGATTTTTGCTCTCCAAGAACTAAGACTTAATATATGACAAATTTTGCAAAAAAGAGGTTCGAGCAAGGTTTCCCAGGTAACTGCAACTACTAAGTCCCAGGATTCCTCTATGGTATCACGTGCAAAACTACACCAGTCAGGCAGAGTCAGAAGAAACAAACTGGCATTCCAGAATGGAAGAAAATCTCTTCTAGATTATCAGGAAGTGACCACCCTACATACAACAAATACCTGCATTTCTACCTTTTTTCCTCCCAAGTTTTGATATTTAAAAATATGTAAAAGTGTGGTTTGAACTTTATGAGTTTGGTTTTTTTTTTTTTTTCTCCTAAGAACTAGTGGGGAAAAAAAAAGTCACCATGTTTTGGTGCAACTGCTAGTCATTCTCCAATACCTGAGCATTCCAGTTTTAAAAATAGTGATCTTCTGATTCCATAAATAGTCCCATGTCAAATAGTTTCTCTCACACACACACAAAACAGTAAATCTCTCTGGTGAAGTTTCACCAGCACTTACAGATAGCAGATACTCTGTAAGTGTATAGAATAAAGCCTTAACTTCTATGTAATTAGTACTGATGTCTCAAGAACAGTAGAAATGATAACCAACCCAGTTCTGACCGTGTAAACTAAGAGAGGAAGACTAGGAGAGTGTTCACTTCTGCTAACTAGAGGTGGGAGCAAGACATTTCCACACAAAATTGCGAACAAAAATATCAAGCTGTATTTGAAAGCACTGCTCAACAAGAAAGCAGTTTAACCAGCTGGACAAATAAATCTGATTTACTCAAACCAAACCTGCAATAAAGTTAGCTTTTAGGTTTTTGTCTCCATCTGCTGCAAGAAGATCAAACACATTGCATCTTGGCTCAACGCATCTAACTCACTTAAAGATTTTTTTTTTTCCTTCCATTCAACATTGAGGTTTTGAGACCTGAACAGGAGGTTTTTAGAGCAAGAAAAAAAATGGGACTTTTACTTATGTACTGATCATTATTACCCTGACACCTTCGGCCTTCATGTGGGAAAACCACTAATGCATCAAGAAAATTGAGAATATAGCAAGATTTATGACCAAACATTCTACAGATCTTTGTTAAGTTGAATATGACTTTTGGTCAGTTGAACGTATAAGAAGTCATTCCCATAAGCATTTTCATGACTCAAACATAAAAATCAATTTTAAAATTAACTCATTTCTTAAACACTACAAGAAATTTATCTTAAATACTTAACAGCAAAGACTCCAGATAACTTTTATTTACAATTATGTGGTGTCAAAGGTTGGTCTTCAAATACTCCAAAATAAGATTTTCCAAACAGGAGTCTGTATGGTGATTACTTATTGCTTTAGATTATTCATTTTGCCAGAAAAACCTTATGACACAACACTAATACCCAACTTGAATATTTAACAAGGCCATAAAAAGACTAGACTAAATTCTAATTTTTGTATCCTCAGTTAGCAATTCTTGGTTCCACGTAACTCAGTCACCTGATAAAACCACTCTTAAAAGCTCTGAGGATCTCTAAGACCCTATCACCATTATAAAAGTAACATAAACAGCTTATATTGTAAAGGAAGTAATAAAAACCAAAAAAGATGTACTTACAAAGCTAGGCTACTCAATACATATTGTACGTGCTCACATTCAGCTGGGAATGATACACAGGCAGATGTGAAACAACAGAGTGCCGTTTGAAGCACCTGAAGCTGAGGCAAAGGAACCTGCCATCTTCCAGCATAGTCTTCAACAACCTAACGACAAAAAAATTGAAATACATATTACAATGTAAAACACTCTAGTCAGAAATAATATGTAGCTAATACTGTATCTGCTTTATTTCCCCTCTTTCTCCCTCAGAAGTAGGGTTTGCAACCAAAAGAACTGACCATTTTGTCACTAAACCAAAAATAGAAATGTTATATACCGAAGATGTACCACAAAAGACCTTCAACTATTCTTTTCAGAGGGTAAGGCAGGAAATCTTTTCTTCTTACATATCACAGTAGATATTACACTCCGCATTTAAATACAAATTTTGATTTTACAAAAGGATACAAATTTGAGAGTCTCTAACACTATCCAGACATTCCATTCTAAAACTTTCAAAGAGGGGAACCACTAGCCCATGCTCTTCTAATCTTCATGTCAGCAGAGAAAGGCACAAACATACACTCATTCTGTCTTATCTGATCAAGTAAGTAAATTTGGCCTTTTTTATTTATATGATGGAACTAAGGCTAGTTATGCCCAGATCTACAGTTATGGAACTGCATCACTATTATATACAGAAATAGATGTTTTAATAGAGAAAAATCCTTGCCTAGTCATCTAGACAATCTTGTTTGTATTAATAAATGAAAATTTCTATGCCAACACTGGGAAGCTCAATAACCATCTGGTTATTTCTACATGGGTATCCCTACACTGAAATCTTCTGAAAGGCCCAGTGCATTTAAAGCACTTCACGTATAAAACACACAGCACTGACTTCAGCACAAAGCACAGCAATAAAACAGATGTCTGTAAAGGCACCCACCAATTCTGTGAGAGACTAGCTGCTATGCTGTAGTCCCCCAGAAAGTAGAAGGCCAAGGGCTTTGGGTTGTCTCTCCTTCTTTAATCAATAGCTAAGATGTGACTCAGACTTAGTATTCTAAGCAGAGTCTGAAAACTGTATTTCTTTCATGCTCTGGCACTTATCTCACTGCACTACAGTCAGGTTCCTTCGCTCACTTACTCTTGCCTTATTTTTTTTCATCATAACAGCATGGCTTCAATATAAGCAGAAGAGTAGACTAGGTACACTTCAGGGCCTAGGTCACTCTTCTCCAGCTGAGGAAACCTGAGACCTCCTACATCCTGAGAAAGTCAGAGTAGGAGGGGAAACATAACACCATCAGCCACATTGTAAAGAGAAAGTAAAGCACACCATAGCATATATAAGAGACAAGTAACTGGCTTCAAGGAATCTATGAAATGCCAATCCCAGTTACACCTGGCCACTTATCTCAAGAGCCAGGCTGGCCAATAAAGCATAGACTAAACCAAAAGTCAGATATATCCCTCTTCAGGATTTCTTTTTGACTTAAAAGTCTGTGAATCCCACATAGATATATCTAATTCCCGTGAACTAAATAAAGTACTTAGAAGTCAAGTCAAGCGGCCTACAGTTTTAGTTCCAAAGCTGTACGTCTAACTTTGTTTAAGGCCCTGCAACATGAACCGGCCAGTGTCCCATTTCTGACAGTTTGGTTATAGCTGCTCCAAAGCAAAGTGCTTACTGATAATGGGACCGATAATTTTTTCTCCTCACCAACAGCTGAGACTGATTCATATTTCATAAGTAAATTTTGACTTTCCACCAAATTTATTTTAATAATTCCTGTTTGAAATCTGTTAGCTTAATGCAGCAAAATATAGGTCAACTGGAAGAGAATTAGCAGACGTAGATAAATACTCGTCCTCTTACAAGGAAGAATCAACACTTTATAAAACAGTACTGCCTCACACATCTTTCAGCTGATGCTGACAGTGACTGGTGGCTTTTTTGGGAAAGGAGGCTGTGCTTTGCCAGTTAGTTCCTGAACTAGTTTGCTCTAGGTTCAGATGAGTGTTGCAGGCGCAGCAAGGGCAACTAGTAGGAATGTATAGGCCTTTATAAAGTGTGGGCAGTAGGACTGCACCTTTCAGAGACTACAGTGTCTAACTATTACTGTCAGAATAAGCCTCTGAATGCTGATTATTTGCAGAAGCAATACACTGACATTAGGACCAGAATCTTATCACGAGCTCATATATGTCTAACCAGAGTGAGATGAGCAAATACAGTAACTTTTCCCTAACTATTGTCAGTTCAGCTACTTTACTGTAGTCAGTAACTTCTGGTGGATATCTTTTTCAGCTCACACAGCCTCTTTCAACTCATAGCCACCCAGTATCCACAGCATCCCTTTAGTAAGGAGCTCCACAGCTTAATTGCACACTGTGTGAAGAACTACCTCCTATAATTTATTTTGATCCTGTTTGCCAATCTTGTTTGGTGTCTCCTCCTGCACTTGTTATTTCTTTACAACCTAAAGTGTCCTAGTTAGCTTCATTGATCTTTATGTGAAATTTATTTTGCTACTTAGCATTTCTTGCCTGCCTTCAAAGCCTTTTTTAGATGTTCTGTATTCTCTTTTGACATAGGAATGGAAGATAGCAAACCAGCACGCAATTTCATAGATAAGGGGATGTGCTATGGTTTTGAGTAGTTAACACTCTGCTTTGTTTTATCTTATTACCCTCCCAATATTCAATTTGCCAAGAAAGGCCATTGTGATGAGCACTGAGGTGATTTTTCATTAAAACATCTACCATAACAACACAGTCTTGCTCTTGGGTGGTAACTGTCAGTTTGAAGGCCATTATATTACATGTTTGGATTGTTTTGTTCCCCAAGTACCACTGCACACTTGTCTGCGCTGAATTTAATTGTTCACTGTCATAAATCCTTTCTATAGTTCTTTACAGTTGGTACTTTATGCTACCGAGAAAAAAAAAAACAAAACAGTATCATCACAAAATGTTGTTCAGCGCTCTGAACTGGTCTGCCACCCTGCCACAGAAGTACCAGAGGCAGCACAGAAAGGAAGACACCACAACAGCAACATTGCCTTTGTTAGGCAGTTAGTCCACCACTCAAATGTATCCACAAAACATTCACAGCAACAGCCTCCCCACCCTAAATTGGTCGGGAAGAATATAAATAGTGCACTTTTTTTCTGAGTAGGGATACCTGTCACCATGCATTCGTCAGTCCCAGGGGAAGAAAAAAAACAGTCTAAAATTGGTCAATTCTCAGCACTTGCAACAATCATCAGTAAGAGATGGGGGTAGGCAGGGAGAGAAAAAGCTGAACTAAGTATGAAATAAATTCCAAACCACATTCCACATACATTCTATATGGAACAAGCAGAGAGGGAATAATGTATGTTTGGTTTACAATTCTATGTATACTTTAATATCTGTTTTTAAGTCATCTCATGGAATAGCTTTTTCTAGAATAGAAACCAACACTTTTTCTTGTTCAAAATATTCAACATGCCATGCTTTGAAACAGGACTGTAAAGCAGAACATAGGTAAGGGTTTATACCAAAAAGACCCCCAAAAGCAAACAACTGCCCCCCCCCCCCAAACTTTACCACTTCTGACATTTTTCAAGGAAAACAAAAGTCAAAGGACACGCATATGTTCACCTTCATGTTGTGAAGTTATGTCATCAGAGCACTTCAGAAAATCAGATAGATTATGCTGAGTCCTAAATGCTTTATTTAAAGTTTATATTTATCAGCACATTTTTAACAAGCACACTAATTTCAATATAATGAAGTCAGCCAAATAAGAAGCACATAATGTTGTCAAAATAACATGTCCTGTTCCTTGTCCAATACACAGTGCAGAAAACCAGAAGGGAGGTGACATTTTTATGTGACTTTCTGCAACAATTACTTCAAAAATTCTGTTAGGGTGCAATTTTTATATAAAGTCTCTCCATGCATCATTCCCCAGGCTGTCTTTACTTTTTAAATTACTACCATTGATGAAAAGACTGTAGGGCCTTTTGTCTTCCCTTTCTCATTCAGTGCAGATACAGATATTGAAAGGGAGGCTGAAGCACCTTTCTGACACCCCCCTTCAATTCAGCTCCACCTTTCTCCCACAGCAATACACTACTTCCCTTTCTTTAATATGCCTGAGTAACTCAGTGGAAAAATCCATGATTCACATGTGTCATATCAAGTGCAAAATCAAGACCAGAATTATCAGACTTGTCAGTCTTATAGGAGATTCCTGTAAGACAGCTAAAGCAGCTAACCCCGAAAATAACAAGGTAGCAATGAAAAACCTGAACCAACGTAAAATAATATTTTTTCCTGCAATATTTTTTAACTGATTAAATATACACATATATTTTAAATGATTAAATATACATATAAAGTGATGTGCCTATATTCCAAACACTTAAGAGAAATAACATTGCACATAACTAGATTTGCAAATACATAAGACACAAGAAACAAATGTTTTATACAGCGCTAGGCCTGAAGTTGCTACAGCTTTTCCTGTCTCTTCCCGCAACAACGAAAAAAAAAAAGAAACAAAAAAGAAATAGATCCCACCAATTTTAAAGTTTTGTCATGATTAGGATTATAAGTGAAGCTACTCTCACAACTTCTTGTGAGGTTTCACAGTAAAGAAGTCACTAAAGGATTAAAACCACAACAGTTCTGAGTACTTCTGTTTATAGTCTTCAGAAAAAGAAAGCTAGTTAGCAAATACAGTAGTTGTCATTTGTTATAATAAGCAAATATAGTGGTTGTCACAGAATAGAATGACCCAAAAGGATTTAAAATACCAAGCAAAAAAGGGGCATGCTTAAAAAAATTAGTTTCCTAAAAAATTAAAAACCATAATTAAAAGCAACACCTACCAGGGTTACTTGTTCAGCAAAAGTACCAGAGCAGCCTGGATACCAAAGTTCTAGAAGAAAACTTGAGTAACACTAAATTTACTCTACCTGAAAACAGCAGAAGAAATAATTGCACCTTTCTTACTGTCTTTTTAACCTATTTAGTGGATGATGACCATTTTGTTGTTTCCACAAACAAGCTGTGTCCTTGCAAAAAAGGATTCCATTATCCAAACAGAGAGTAGAAAAGGCCTTAAAATTTTAAGATAACATAAAACATTACTTAACAGATACACCTT